TTCATGTCATTAGCACCTCTAGTAATATATTTACTGAGAAAAATGGTGACGTGTTCAATACTTATTTTACCCGCTGTATCTTATGGTAAAGTTCAGTTTTGTAAGATTCATGTGGAAGAGAAGCCATATTTAAATTGATATTCCAAACGCTACTTCTAATATTTCACAAGGGATTTACACATTTTAATGTTTCAACACCTTAACCGCGACAGATGGACAATAACTTAGACATCAAATATTCTGGGAAATACCAGAGCTAGGAAACGGCAAAAACATCTGACACTACTCTTCTGTGCTCAGTCATTTGTACCGAATCAAAATGTTTTAATCAATTTTTAATCTGAGCTTGTGCTCTGTAGCAAACATCAAGTCCAAAATGTCACTTATTTATAATAAATTACTTAAAATCCATCCATTGTAAATATATTGTATGGATAGTTTTCTGCTCACCATTTGTCATCCTAATTCTAAAAGTGAGAGCAGTAAGACAGTAACATTTATTTTTTTGTATTACACGGTTATCTTTTTTACTCAGACACTAAGCACGGTTCTTTTAAAAGGAATCATTATTCAATATAACACATCAGCCTGCTGTAATGTATGGATCAATAGAGATCATGCTGGACTGAGCCACCCATGACTAATGTGGTTCATTTGGCTGCAGCACATCCCTGAAACAGACCATAAAGCAGACCTGGCCCTGTCAGAGGCCAAAACAAGCCCAGAGATTGACATCATGTCTCAGCCAGCTCCAGAATCTCCTGGAAAACAATGTAGTTGCCTCAGAAAACCACAGAAGCTCGCGGCTGTCTGAGGGTGTGGGCATGAAAAGATTAGGGATGGAGTGGCAAAACGCTTTAAAACAGATTAATGTGATTTTACAGACTGAATTGTTGGAACAAAACCAGAGACTGCAGCCACACAGATTATCTCATCGTCTCTGACCTGGGTGTGTCTCAACACTGGCTTGTAACAACTTGGAGCATCACCTCAGACTGACTGACAAACAACCACTGCCTGTGCACAACTACTGGTTTTTATCTCTAATGTCCACCTTAAACACGTAACGAAGCGAATATATTGGCATTACTTATCCGATCAACTTAAAGATACAGTTCATTCAGTGGCTTCATTAAAGTAGCTAATAGCATTTGTTCACGCGCTCACAAGCTGAAAACATAACGGCGACATTATGAACTAATGTTCAGCTTAGTTTCACCCTGTCTGACTTTAAGCCCTCCATCCAGACCAGCTAGCTGAATGAAGTTGCAGTCGAGCAGGTGCAGCGAGTTCATGACACACGAACTTTTTGTAAATGAATGAAAAAACATCTCTTACCGCTCTGCTCCCCGAGAAAGACCAGCTTGAATTTTCTTAGGGGGTTTCCGAAGTCACTTCCCACCGACATTTTGAGGGGGAAACAACAGGCGAAGGGAGGAGGGCAGCTGCGGACACAGTGGAGCAGTCTGAGCGGACTTCTTGTGCTCTCCCACCCCGGCTCTGGGTGCTGGTCGCTGAAGATGCTTGACGGCAATGGGCGGCGATGTTGCTTTCTCTTTCTCGCTCCGTCTCTCCTCCTCTCGTCGCGATGGGCTCTGCAGCTCCGTGACGCTGGAGAGGCAAGGCTGAGAGGGGCGCAATGCGCATGCGCGGATTTGTTCTTTATTTATTTTTTTCTATGAATGACTGCCACAATGTTGAAATGACGTCATACGTTAAAGACAGGAAGTAGAGTTAATGTAAACAGTGTTGATGGGAGGCAACTAACAAAAACACTGTGGAACGTCCCAAAAGTTGGAGAATAATAAATTATAAGGAAATTTGTGTTTGGTAGATTATTGCTTTGTTGCAACAAAACTACTTGGAAATAAATCTTGTATGGAAAGTCTGTTAACTTTCATTTTTAAATGGGGCCACATTTGTAAGGAACTTGCGTTTGTAGGATGAGCAGTAGAGGTGAGTATGTGGGTTGCACACATTAATATTTGTCAAATCTTCATAAATCAATATAAATCAACCTCTCTCTCTCTCTCTCTCTCTCTCTCTCTCTCTCTC